TAGTTACTCGTACGCTTTATCATGCAGCCACATGAAATCCACAAGTATTTAGCCCAAAACTTGAACACGATCTTCGAGGAATGGTTGCAAAATTTAAATTCAAGAAAAATACTGGCACGAAATGCAACGAAAACCTTACCTTATTGTACTAGCTCTAACAGAAAAGTACAACTTCGATCACCAGCGCACTCCAGACCAATAAGGAAAGCCATGAGGCAATGTCAAATTCTCGTCTTCCTAAGCTTTCTAACGTATCGTAGAAAATTTCGCTAATACTTCGCACTTAAAAATGCTACGAGAATCTTACTCTTTCAATAATCCGAAACGTCCCAAGAGGCATCAAGGATAGCCCATGAAACCAGGATAGCCCATGAAATTCTCAAACTTCGAGGGCGGAAATCTTAACGATGTTCTTACACTTTTGCATTGCATCCCTTCCCTAGTTGGGAAGTGACACGCAGAAGACACGATCACAACGCACTTTGATTGGAAGAAGAAAACCGCATTCTATTGGTAATTAGTGAGGACATTACTACAACGGAAGACACAGGTGCTACCACAGGCAGACAACCCTGCGGGTTTGAGGCTCCGTGACGTCAGTTATTTGATACGCTATTTGACCTCTTACATTGTTTGTAATTTGCAACGGTCGATCTCGGCAAGAAGCAAGTGATACCGAGAAATGTTTCACAAATTCCGCAGATCGTAACATTTCATCCCCAAAATCCGCTTAATGTCAGTCAGATAAATAAAGTTCATTTAGCTTCATTTTCCTGTGTTGTCTCGAGTGATTTTGGAGGGTTTTGGGAAGGTTAATTCCCCACTTTGCACTGATGCCCCTCCAAAGGCAAAGGAATAACACAAGACGTGCAACTTCCAGGACCGTCTGGGCCGAAAGCCTCCAGAACAACTCCGCCGGATTTCTTCCGCTTCCAAATGTCGCTCACCTCCCAGCTTCGGGCACGTTAAAAGTCAATAAACGTGTAAGAGCTAAGCCAAAAATCAGTACAATTGCCCGCCTCTAACCACCTCAAAAGCCTGCTCGATTTCTGACCTCCGCTCATCATCTGCCGTCGACACATAATGTGGACCGAAGAGGTCGATCATAAGCCTTCGATTAACCGTATTAAAATTCAAATTAATCACCAACTGACCTCAGATTTCACCCGACCCTTCCCACGTCAGTACATAGTGTGTCGGTTGAAAGACGATAAAAACCAGCCCTCGCACGGGGAGGGTAAGATGAAATCTGAGCTAATTTGGTGATTAATTTGAATTTTGATACGGTTTACGGTTTGCGGTTTGCAGTTTGCGGTTTGCGGTTTGCGGACTGACGTCACGCAGCATCAGAAAAGGATAAAGGCAATGTTGATACGTGGGAAGTGTAAGTTTTTATTTAAACAACAATGAAATACGTGCTAAAGTCTACCGATGAAGTTTCTCCTTGCGTGAGGTTTATTGTGAAATTGACATCTCGTAATGGTCTTGAAATATCTCGAAGTTAAGTAATAATCGCGAGTATGTAACCCATTCCAGCTTTCTCAGTTGTAAATATATGTGTGCAGTCTACTTCTGGCTCATTTGTAAGCTCGTTAACACAAATATTATTGGAAACATTCCTCGTGGAGATCACTGCGCTGTGTGGGGTTGTAACAATGATCGAAGATACCCAGGAAAGCAAAATATTCTTCCTCACGTTGGAATTGAGATTGTACTCCTCCAGTAGTAAGAAAGATCAAGAACTCATGTTGAAAGAAACATTTTGAAGTTGAAGCAATTAAGAATTCTTTCAGGAGATATTCTTCTTTTGTTAAAATCAATGTTGGAAAGAATTATTTTTGTTTATGCTGCTTTAACTAATTTATGTCGAAGAAGCATTAAGTAAGGAGCACACTGCAGAAGCAAATACCTTTATTTACTGAATTTGTTGATCTTCTTGACTTGAGGATAACTGTTTTGTGTGAAAATTGTCATTAGGTAAGGCTTCCATTGGGAAAGAAGGAACTATTTGTTGACAGTAAAACTTGTAAACTGTTGCTACAACAGTTTCCCAAACTTATCATTAAAATTATTTCTTAAAATAAATATCCCTTTACTTGTATAAGTAACAAAATCGCAAGATTTTAAACCTGAAAGTACCATGTCAGTCTCAACTTGGGAATAATGTTGATAATTTTTGTCAAGAAAAAAATTCCCATTTTCATCTTTTTTCCCACTAACAGTTGGTAACAGGAAAGCAATTTTAGGGTCAAGGTCCTTCCCTTTAAATGGACATTTTATCTCTACTACTGAAGGGTCACAACAGTGAAATTTTCTAGTACCATCCAGACTTGCTCCTATCCAAAAATAACTGCTACTAATAAGGAGACCTGGCTTCTGAAGATCAAATGAACAATGCTGTTTTTCACTGAATTTTTGGTAGTCACATTTTGCATTTTCTTCTTCCTTTATACCACGATCTATGGCTTCAGGACACACTTGGTTTTCTTTAAATTTTTTTAATTGAGTAAAATTTTAACAGTGAGTGATACATCAGTATGAGGATCTTTTTCCAACGTTTTTTGGTGGGTGTAAAGAGATTTTATTTTCCCCTGTAACTAAAAGGTGTCTCATTTCGTACAGGTTTTGTTTTTGTGTTGTACCATGGTTGCTTTGTCTATAATCATTCTATCATTGTCTGAAAAGGTGAGGGCTTTTCTAAATTCTTCAGCAAAATTTGAAAGATTGTCCTCTGACAGCTTAATAAAATTTATCTTAACATAATTCTTAGCTTGATATAATATGGCCAGGTGAGATACATTATCAAGATGTGAAGGAAAATGTTCATTCTCATCATGGTTCGAAGAAAATGGTAAAAAATCAAGAATACCAGAACACGGATCAATCTTTTAAAGTTTCTTTGCGAAATCAATGTTTTCTATGAGCCATTTCCTTTCTGCCTCTCATGGGTCTATGATAAAATAGTCAATCCAGGAATCATCACGCGGTATTATTTTCCTTTTCTTTTTCATCAAAGAGCTTTTGGAAAATTTCATTTCAGACGTAGGGACAGATTTGTGTGTAGGAACTGGCTAGGGGTTCCAATATGCAGACATAGAGGTGACAGACTTTCTTTGATTTGAAAGAAACGTTTCACCTAAATGTCTGCATCCTCAATCAGCTCCACCCTGGCACCTACGGAAATCTGAATACACAGACTCACTTGAGTCCACAACAAACCAGAGCCTGTAAAGTTTATCACCTTCTTTAGTTTTTTCTTTCTGAGTTTGTATAACTCCAGCCACAGACAGAAAAAAATGCCGCCATCAAGGCCCTTTGTACCATTTACTTTAAGGCTCTGAACATTGCCATTCCTACATAAATCATTCCCCTTCGAATGAGCGCCAGGAGGATAACATGCTTTTATCGTAATCAGTTTAGCTTATAATTAGATGATTAAAAATTTCCATTGTTCCAATTGGAGGGAGCCGGGAGAAGTCACTGGGCAATGCTGCCATTTGGAAGGGGGCCAAATTTTTTTGTCCAGCTGGAAGCGCGAGGCCTCTTAACAAACATTTATCAATGGACTCACTTTCACAGTCAGGGTCAGTAGGAAGGTCCACTAAAGCAACTTATTTAGCTAGCTGAATAAGTTCAAGGTTGCGGTAAGTGGAAACTTGAACATCCTGGGAAGAAATAAATGCTTTAATTTGTTTCACATCCATTTGGTCAAAGTTGGGACAAGTAGATGCAGTAGTGGCTAGTTTTGAAGATGGTTGCTTGGTAGTGGTCCATGCAGTTTTGTCTGTAGATGTTTGGGAACTGGTCATGGTAGAATAAGATGGTTGTTGGACAGCAGAAGGTTTAGTACATGTAGCTGGATGTAGCTGTTTCACAGAAGAGGTTTATTTGGCACTGGTAGCTTCTGGAGATTGAGTTGGCTTTTTCACAGTTGTTTTAGAGTACGAAGACAATTTTTTTTGTATTTAAAAAGCTAGATCTTGACCAGGTTACTTGGATTCTGTTGCTTCAATCGAAGGTGGTCTGAAGGAAGGATGAGTTTGTGATTTTTGTTTCACAGCTTTGGCATATGAATTACCATTGTTTTCTAAATCTATTGAAACAGAGGATGCTGTATTCTCAGGCAGAGGAGCACTACAACAGCTACTTCTAGGCAGAAGGAGATTAAAATGAGTTGCTTACATTACATTTAAGTGATTGGACACCTGCACTTCTTTTTAGTGATCGATGAAAACGAATCAGTGTTCTTAATCAGCTCAAAGGTGTACCATTTTTTACTGCAACGATGAGAAGGTGCAAATGGGTCGCATGAGGAGCGATGCTGAGCTGAAGATGTCCACGGTTTCAGCTCAAGTTCTAGTTATCTTGCTGTTCTTGATACGATCCTCCACGGAGTTCGAAGAGGAAAGTAGCGGCTCAAACACCTTTGGATTTCTCTCTATCAAACTAGCACTTAACATGCGGATTTTTTATGTTTCTCATCACTTATTTCATCATTCCAGAGAGCGATAGCTCGTTAAAAACAATCTCCATCTCCTCTGACAACTACTTCTCTCCTTCGAGGAGGTAAATTTCTGGAAGCCGTAATTTGTGTATGAAAGACGTTAGCTAGAGTTAAAAATGTCTGTACACACGTATATTTAACTGAAAATACTTTAAAGGGTAGTTTTCGTTCACTTATACGTAACTTTGTGATGTTTCAAGATCACTACGAGATGTCGAGTTCACAATAAAGCCTTACGCAAGGAGAAAACTTTATCGGTAGATCTTAACACATATTTCATTATTATTTAAACATAAACTTACACTGCCCTCGTATCAACAACATTACTTTAATCCTTTTCTGATAAAACGGCTGCAAAACAGCGCTGAATTCTCTAAAAAATCGTTTTTTGGACGCCTAAACAACTCTTCGCCATGAATTCCTTTGTAGCAATTTGCGTTGTTTGCACCGTGGCGATCCCAGAACCCTTTGCGCATAGCAGAGGATCCGATTACTAGCAACTCCTTAACGGGCAAGGCGCGTCTTGATTCTTGATGATCATCAATTTTCGCCAAGATAATCTTATTTCCCCCCCCCAACCAACAGCTATGTCTAATGTGGAGTTCCTTCGAATATTGCATCTGTGTGATAAGGAAATCGATTGGCAAACTGAAAGTGGGTGGTTGCTAGATATTTACGAGGATTGCATTCCTAATGACTCGGAAAAAGCTTTCACGAGCGTCATTACGTTGCTTCGGAAACTGAAAGATAAGGAAGTTATAGGGATTGATCATCTCGTTGTATTGATAGATATAGTAAAGAGGACAAAATCTTCTTCGAAATGGAATCTTCTTCGAATTTTGAGAGAATTCGAAAATAAGAGAAAGGACTATAAAGAGTTACTGAAGCAGATAAGCCGAGCACTCCAAGAGTCCAACGAGCTACAACGATCCATTTCAACCTGCGTAGAAAACAATGTGATACTTCGTAAAACCGGAAAACAAATCAAAGATTTCGATGCATTATTCAAAATGTTAGAAGACCGGCACATATTGGGAATAGAGGACCTCACTATCCTGAAGACTATAGCAACCGAGGTGGAGAAACCAGATTTGTGCAGACTGGTGGAGGAATTCGAGAAGAAGAGAAAACAGGAAGAAGATTCCGAAAGGCGGAACGACAACTTACGACGAGTAGGAGGTAAGGGATAGCTTCCAACTGAATTGCTTAGTTTCGAAATAGTTTTTAAGTTCTTCGACCAACCTTGTCGATCGAATTTTAGATTCATGAGCGTTACGTTCATTGCTACACCTCAGGTCTAGGTCCGTTCAACCGATTGTCTGAGAGAATGTTGAGAGCTGTAAAATCAGTAACTAGGCTGGCGAGGATGACATGCTGGACGTTTTTGTTAATACGAGTAAGTAATCACTTTCACTTGCGTCGATGGGAACCAAGTTAAGACGCTTAGCCACAATGAAATGCCTACATTGCCAGTTGCGAAGCGAGTGTTTTCTTTTTAAGTTTAATTAAAAGGTTGAAAATAGTGTTTTCGAAGGTTGTTTTTGTTTTTAATATGGTTAATTGAAGGCTCATGATCGATCCCTTCGGTCCACATCATGTGTCGACGGCAGATGAAGAGCTAATTTCGGAAATCGAGCAAGCTTTTGAGGTGGTTAGGGGCGAGCAATTGCACTGATTTTTGGCTTAGCTCTTACAGTTTATAGAATATTAACGTGCCCGAAGCTGGGAGGTGAACGACATTTGGCAGCGGAAGAAATTCGGCGGAGTTGTTCTAGAGGCTTTCGGCCCAGACTGTCCTGGAAGTTGGACGCCTTGTGTTTTTCCTTTGCCTTTGGAGAGGCATCAGTGCATCAGTGCAAAGTGGGGAGTTAACCGTCCCAAAACCCTGCAAAATCAGAAAAACGAAGCTTAGTGAACTTTATTTATCTGACTGTCATTAAGCGGATTTTGGGGATGAAATGTTACGATCTGCGGAATTTATGAAACATTTCTCGGGATCACTTGCTTCTTGCCAAGATCGACCAAATTATAAACAATGTCATAGCTTAAATAGCTAAATAGCGTATCAACTAACTGACGTCACGCAACCTCAAACCCACAGGGTTGTCTGCCTGAGAGCTCACAGAGAGCGTCGATGTGCGAACATTTTTTATTTACCAGTAACCGTAATTTCCGGCCATTTACCCGCGCGGCAGATTACCCGCATCGGTCAATTTTTGCAATGACGAGAAAAAATTTCAACGGATTACCCGCACAGGCAGATAACCCGCACACAAAAACAAAAGAAAATCGTCAACTTATTTTTAGTCCCTCCATTGTTTTTTGTTGTCATAATATCCTTTAGCGTGCTTTTAATAAATTTTCACACTTTTTGTTTTCAATGTTTCATTGAGAATGATACCACTTGTAAAAATCAGTTCTAAAAATATAGTTACCCCAGGATCTACTGAGTCGAGGAAATCGCTGGAAACGGGAAAAATACTCTTTGACTGAAGGCAGTGCTAGCTAAGAAAATTTCACTGATGCGTCGAATATTCTACCGCTCATTAATTATGCGGCGCTACGCATAATTAACCATGTCGGCATCATTTTCCGTGTGAATTGCTCAGAAGGGAGCTTTTTCCCACTTAAATTCTTTTATTTTCAAGTTCACCTCCCGTGTTGGTGTGAATTGATTTTTTGAAATAAACAAAGAAACAAGCTGTGAAATTGACAGGGTAAGAGAGTAAGAGTACAAACAAGATGAAAGCTTTGTTACCGAGTTTTGTTTGGTTTCGATTTGCATCGGCTTTCATCAAGAGCGTAAAAGTCTCTTATTATAATCTGCGCAAAATAAATGAGATGTTGTTATGATCTCTGTTTTATGTTTTATCGTACTACCCGCACCTCCCTACAACCCGCACCAACTTCTGTTTGTGGAAAAATTAACAGATTACCCGCGAACAATCGACCAGAAATTACGGTATGTAGTTATTTTTGATTTTATCACAATTAGCATCTTCTCGAAGGAATCGTAGGGTGCTAGTTAGGTATGTTTAGACAATATGGCAGGCGAAGACACACTAATTTCGTTCCCGGGGCCTCTTTTGTGTTCTTTAAAAAAAACAGCGAGACGCTGGCAAGTGAAGTTTGCTCCAGATAGCATGAAGTTTTTACACCTTCTCTGCCTATACATACAAAAACTTACGAGTCACCGCAGAATGATACTCCGACGAGTAAACAAAAGCTTGAAATTTGTCTTTAATTACCTTTAACTGATATTATACCATTTTAGAGTTAAAACATTCTGTTGAACAATGCTTAACATTCACCTTTCGAAAAACCGAAGGGGATAAGGTACGAATTTCTGGCGATTACTAAACCTGCATGGTTGGTTCACCACACTTGAATCGTTTTTTACTAGAATTTACAAGAAAATTGCAAGGCTTTGCGTTAACACTTCTGAAAAATGTTATGATTTAAGGCAAAATCTCTTTTGAACAACATTATGAGATATAATATTTAGAATTAGGTAAGCATAAAGGCAGAGCTCTTGTTAGTTTTTTTTTCCAGCCCTTCATTATACTGAATTAAACTCTAATAAAACTCTTCAACACTGGCCGTTGAAGAATTTCTTCAAGGGGATTTAGGGACCAGTCTTAGGGGTGGGGGAAGAATTGAAGAGACATGGGTGTAGTCAGCGGTATTTTCAAAAATCTTAGGACCGTCGTTGTTATTCTTGATGTTTTGAGCAAATTTTCGAAGATATGACATGTTTTCTTCTTCAGATGAAGTATATGATGTCAGCATCAGTTGAAGTTATATTCTATTGCGCATAACTAATAACCAGGTTTAGAAAATGAGCCAAAATTGAAAGAAACGACGGTAAACTACTTCGCGTTACGACATCTTAGGTTGCTTGAATAGTATACACCTGAGAACAGTGAGTCAGCAAAACAATACGCCAGAATTGCAAGGGCTTCTCTTATATCTTCTTTTGAAGTCGCCAGGTATGACTGCTTGCCCCACCGTTTTTCCCTTACGTCTCAGCCTCCTCTGTTTGGCGCAGAAAATTGAAAAGAAAATTAATTTTCAACTCGTGTTTAAACCTGTAAATTTTTTTAAAATTTTTCTCTTTTGGCTTTTCCTTGTTCCATAGTTGTCCTATCGCCGGACATATACAGCGTCTTTTTGGGATTTTTCTGTTATTTAATTCGCTAACCTCTGCTGTAACTGCATATATTGTGGGTGTCTATAAGAAAACTTTAGACAATACCTGGATTTTATTTTTACATCACAGCAATCAGTTCCAAACATCCATCAAGTTTTCTCTTTAGTTCAAAAGTTGATTTGATGTTGTCATTGGTATATTAGATAGGTTGAAAAGTTTTAGATTGTATTTTCTTATGTTTGCAAATAATTGAATTTACTGGAAAGTGGAGTTGTTGCGACATGTTAACTTGAAACGCAAAAATAAATGTTGTTGACATGAGAAAAGTTTTCATTTGACTATCTAATAGCAAGTCTTTGTATCATTTCAACCCAACCATTTTCTACATCTTGTAAACACCATTACAAAATAATTAGTCAGGGAAATGAAAATTTTGTGGCATGTACACCATGCTTGAAATCCAGTCAGTGGAAATCGTAGACTGCAGACTGCAGACCTGGGATGAAATGCAGACTGGGGGTAAAATGCAGACTCGGTTCTTTGTGTTTAGTTTTAAGTGTTTAAATATGGAGTTCATAGCCAGCTAAATACATTTCCCTTGTTAAGGAAAAAAAGTTCTGCTGGGCAACATTAGTTAGCTTTCACATACATGTAGCTCGTGTCTACTTTGTTTGGCCATGAAAGTAGTGGCAATCGAATTTCATCACACATTGGCAATTTCAATTACTTTGACAATGAAAACCTGTTTCTTACACCTTTGTTTTGTGCTGTGGATTTAGGCGTGCAAATTCTTCAAATTGAATGCAAATTTGTTGGTGCAAGATAAGGGTCTAATTAAAAACCTCCAATCAACGTACCCTGATGTTTGCCTTTATTATTCCGCTCCGTGTTTCACTTCAGTATTAAGCGAAATACTGGCTATCATGGTCAACTTAACCTATGTTGGGCTTCTTGATGGCTAAAAAGGGATGCTTAGGAAATTTACCTTTGCTGTGACGTGTTTTTTTTCACTGGGAAAATGGCGGAGTCTTCCCTAAATTGAAACAAATTCAGAGCGAGTAGAAGTGTCAAATTCCTTTTAAGTTTAATCATTTAGAGAAAACAGAAATGTTCGTAAATTTCAAGCCTGAGATGACTTCAAAATTTTGATACACACCTCCAAAGGATAACAAATAAATTTCAAGTTTCACGCCCATCTTCTTCTCGATCGCATCTCTGCTTTCCGTAAAGGGCATTCCACCACTACAGCCTTGTTGAGAGTTAGAGACGATATTCGCTTTGCCATGAAAAGGAAAGAGGTCACGCTTATGGTGTTAGCCGATTTCTGGAAGGCTTTTGACACCATATCCTTTAGCGCGACCATCGTGAAGTTCTACAAGCTCGGTTTCTCAAAACCCTTTCTCAAGTGGCTCTTGAGCTATCTATCTGGCCGCTCCCAGTTCGTGCAGATCGACAATAGGAAGTCCTCGTACCAGTCATCTCAGTACAGCGTTCCACTGGGGTCCATCGTGGGAACGATGTTTTTTAATTTATATGTATCAGATCTATACGAGGTCACTCCATCATCGATGGAATGCGTCCAGTATGCGGACGACACCTCACTGTACAGCCATTTTAATGTCAAGGAGTTAGACTCAAGAGCTGTGGACATGAATAAGACTCTTGTAAGTATCACAAACTGGTCCCAGGACTCCAACTTGGCGCTGAACCCTGGAAAGACTAAGTGTATGTTGTTCTCAACTCCTCAGATGTCGTCTTACCATTCTCTGGCTGAACGTCCTATACATTTATCTGTAGGAGATAAACCCCTCGAGCGTATCCACTCTATTGAATTACTTGGGGTTCACATGATTGACACCTTGAAATGGGATGATCATGTTAAGCATCTCGCCTCATCTTGGTATGGTGTCCTAGCTGCGCTGAGGAAAATCAAGAACTTTACAAACTACCATCTTAGAAAACATTTCGTGGAATGTCTGGTTCTATCTCGCCTAGACTTTAATGATGTAATATTCCATCCAATTACTGATTGCCTTCTAAAAAGATTACAGCGTACCCGGTTTGCGGCAGCCAGTTTTGTTTTTGGACGCTATGTGGACAATATTGACCCTATTCTTAAGTTAGGCTGGTTGCCTATGAAAGAACGTAGAGAATGGCACGTTCTAAAGGCCGCACGCAAAGCTATATACTCTCATGATTGGCCCAGCTTGAGCATGTAAAACATGCTAGAAATTTACGGTCATCAAGTACCATAAATCTAGTTATTCCCTATGCCTCGGAAACTTTTCAGTATAGCGCGGCAACCCTCTTCAATTCTCTGCCATCCAATGTTAAATGCTTCGATAATTTTAAATCCTTCAGTAAGCAAACATTATGTATTTTAAGGGAGCGCCACCGGAATAGGGCGGAATGATTTCTTGCCTAGTTTTAAATAATGTATATATTGTATAATTACATTTTACTGTTTATTACCTAGCTTTTTACAAATTCATAATTCAGATTTATGTATTTTTATTTATTATTTATTTACGCTGCTTCACATCTACTAGTTTAAGTGAAGTCCTCGTTTAACACCTAACCGTGTGCCCGCGGTACACTGCACTAAGGCTCCGTGCTCGAGCATGCGAACTTCATCGTCATCTGCCAGTGTCTCCTGGCGCATACTAACGGAGTTTTCCTAGCTACGCATGCAATCGCGCCTGCGCATTACCTTCTCCTTCGCCCTTCCATCACGTAATGGCTAAGATAGTGCCCGCAATGCGGTTGGCCGTGCATGCTAAAAGGAGCACCTTGTACGGTCGGTCGAACGGTCGTAAGTGCAAATTTTTTCTGCTTAATGGTTTACAACTATTTCGTATGATTATGAGGCTATGCTGCGCGCGCTGCGCACGCTGCGAGCTCCGCTATTATCCTTTGAATACTAGTTATTGTCCTGAAGCATTATCCCCTCGGTGCGAAGCGTCATTTGATTTCATTAAGATCGCTCTGCTATTTCATAATTCGCATAGTGTTGGGAACGAACTATCGTTAACTCTAAAGCTAATTTCGTCGCTTGAAAAGTCTTGATTCTCATTGCTTTTTTAAAAAAAGTATTGTCTACCATATATACATATATATATATACAGTTATATCGCAATCGGGATGGAACAGGAAAACAATGTGGAAAGGTTTGAAACGTCGCGGTTAAACTCGACGGAAATTTGCAGCATGAATTTGCAAGTGAAATTGCACACGTCATGATATACATGCATAGCCGTGCGTACATAAGGATCTTTGTTCCTGGTTGCTATATAGTAATTAGGTAAGACTTGTGCCCGCGGAATTCTAAAATTATTAAATCAATGATTGATTTGTTTCACATTCCAGCTGGAGCCGCTTCTTTTCTTTCTCGTGGAATAAAAATTGGCGGAGGAATAGGAGGTAAGACAGTGTTAATTTCGTTGCTTGAAAGATCTTAATTCTACTTGCTTTTTCGAAAAAAGTATTGTCTAGGATATGAACAGTTCATTTTGAGCTCTTAAAGGTATATCTCAATCGGGATAAAATAGAAAAACAATTAGAAAGGTTTGAAACCTCGATGTTAAACTCGACAGGAATTTGCAGCATGAATTTGCAAGTGAAACTGCACACGTCATGATATACATGGTACGGCCGTGAGTTCATAGGGATTTTTTGCCCAGTTGCTGTGTAGAAATTAGTTAAGACTTGCGCCCATGGAATATTGTAATTGTTAATTCAATGATTGATTTATTTCTCATTCCAGCTGGAGCCGCTCTTGCTATTTCTGGTGAAACAATTGGCAGAGTATTAATAGGAGGTAAGACAGTGTTGGTTAATCTTGCTGAGAAGTAGAGCCTAATTATGTGGAACCTAGAACCTGAGACAGTAAAACCCGCTGACACAGAGCAAGACCAGTTGAATACCTTATGTTTATGGTCCATCCACTTCTCTTTATTCATGAGCCTCTTTGTCGTCTCTCTCAGTAACGTATAACTTTCGAAAATAGCAATCCACTCTAATCTAGTCTTTGCTAGGCTCTCAGTTACTGGAGATAAGCAAAGAAGCGGGAAAGCGAATTACGCGAGAAGTCTGTGAAGGAGTGCTCTCCTTAGCCAACTCTCCCCAAAAGTTTGTTTCTTTGCCTAGCTCCGCTTTTTCGGTCGACTCCACAAGCGGCTGATGTAAACCCTGTGATTTCTACATTTTTTACAGCTGTTACAACTCACTGTACTTTCCACAATCTTGTTGGTGGTGCCGTACTCGTCTATGTATGGAGGCTCCTTCGCAGGAGTCCTAACCTGATAGAATTTGCCAAAGCTTTGAAAGAAGCTGCTCTTCCATTGGGAAATTCCGTGCGTATAATCGGTGGAGGATCGATCCGATTTACGATTCAAGCAGAAAATGTTTTCGCTCTTGACGCACTATGGCAAAGTTATCAGGATAAAACACTACAGACAAATTTACAAAAGTTTCTTGTTACTGAGGAAATAGAGCAGCTGACAGGTGGTGAAGTGAGATTGACTGTGGACATCGACGAAGATGAATACAGAAATGCCAGGTTGGATTTGATGTTATCAGGAATAGAAGGTAATTTCACCTGAAATAGTCCCGCCATTGTGCATGACTCCTTGTGCGAGATGAATTAGAAACGTCTCTTGTTGTATCTCATAACGGTACGAATCATGGCATCTAGAAGATGTGATTTGGAAATTAAAGTTGTTGCATTACGATCTATCTAATATTTTTCCTCGTATACGATTTATTGAAACGCGTCACGAGACTGTAAATGAACCAGCTCATACATAACCATCCAGTTCTATACTCTAGCTGATGTTTCTTGATTTAATCTTACCTTTCGTGAGATAACAGTAATAGATTGAAATTGCATTCAATTTTGGCGCGAATGAAGAGGCAAATTTGCGTGTTGACAAAGGACAAATATACGGTTACATCTTTAGCCAAGTGGGGTTGGGGGAAGTTACCAGGTGAGCTTTAAGGATAATTGTGTTTTCATTAAGTTTTTTTCCGCCCTTCTCCAAGACATCATGCACTACGCCTTATCATTATTGTGTACGGGTTGATTATATCTACATGAGCTAGAATTCCTCTGTTCTTTTGGAGGAGAATCGATTTTAATACTTCTAAATTATTTGATAAGCACTCTTTGTTCGCAAACGTACTTCCTTATCGCTAACATAAATTGTTTTAAGTCCAGATATTTGGGTTTGCAAAAAGATCCATGGTGCAATAATTGAAATTGTAGACTTGGTATATTTCATCTTTTTCAGCCTGATCTGTCGCGTGGGTTTAAAGAATACCTGTGAATCGCAACATCACTTTTTGTGTTTCTTTGGTCGACCGATAGATTGAGCTGGGAAAGAGTGGTTGCTCATAATCGATCAAAATGTCCAACGGGTTGTTCTTTCTCTTCACGTAGCAACAGCCTCTCGATTTATTATCCAAATGACAACCGCAATTCCTCCGCGAAAAGAGCACTGTGATATAAAAATCATTGACTTTAAACGAGTCGATATTTCTGTTTCTAAAACTCATTCGAAAAGTAACTTTGAGTTGTGCTCAAAAATGCAATTTTCAGACAACTTAAGAGCAAATGTGGCCAAAATCGAACTTTTTCAAAATATAAAGGCAACAGCCAAAAAATCAATTCGGCTCATATGCTCAAGTTAGGTAGGCCTTAGAGAGAAACAAACTTCCTTTGGTTGAATATCTCTTTGTTTTCGGGAAAATCGATAATAACTGAGTTCCGCAAAAATCCCGCCTATGAAGCTCAAAATTTCAGGCGAATCTCGGAGCGTCGCGGGAAGAAGAGGTATAAATATAAATCTGTGGGACGTCGGCTAGTTAAAAAATTTCAGTGAAAATTGTGGTTTGGACCTTTATACAGCTTTTTTATACACTTTGCTCTAATGCACATCTGCAGTAATGGGCTATGCCCTTTGCAGATCTTTCGCTTTATCCACCTTAATCAATAATTAAAAAAATACCATGATTCATTTAATCTTGAGACGTTTAATTATGATCGGGGTTTAGATGATTGTTTGCTCCTGTTTCGCATATTTAAAACTTGACCTAAGTTCCAGAAGCCACATGTTTTACACTCCAATGTACTATTTTTTGAAGAGTTATCGATTTCAGTAGACCTCATTTTATCCAACTTAAAAATTTGAGTAAATCGCGCTGAATCATTTCCCAAAAAAATCCTTTTAAGGTCGAAAAGAACTACACTTTGCCTTCCAAAAGCCAGATTTTCAGCTAATTATTTTGTGTGGCACATAGGTACATAACGGGTTACTTTTAACCTATTTTTTATGTAGTCAGAAGTTGGTTGGAAAAATTCAATTCCCTTGTGTAAATAAATCGTCAAGGATTGTTCAAATTGCCGACAAAATATATTTTGATGCTGTTTTTTAAGATTTAGTACTTTTTCATCAGTCCAGATAGTTTTTCAATTTGTGACGCAACGCTCCGAGATTCGCCAGAAATTTTGAGCTTCAAAAGCAGCATTTTGGTGGAATTCAGTTATCATCAATTTTCTCGAAAATAAACGATATTCAGCCAAAAGAAGTATGCTGTGACTTATTTCCCATTGAGACTTAATAAACTTTGAAATATGGGTGAAATTAATTTTTCTGCTGTTGCCACCAAATGTTTGACCATTAGTGACATTCGTTCTAAAGTTTCACTTACGTTTTGGGTTATTTGTCTCTCGGATATATATGATTTATTTCCGAGAGCTTGATGATCATCCAAGTGAGGAAGGATGCTCAATGTCTCAATTCTCTTTTGCAAATAATGTGGAGCCCACCGCTTCATTCAACATTATATTGCTTTTTTTGACTATAAATTTTAGAGATGAAACTTGAAAAGGAAAGAGGATTAAAACAACGGGCAAGTTCTGATTCAGACCTTCTGAAAGAACGAAACATGACCACAGCCAATACAAGAGATCCTTTTCCAGAGAGGGAGTTTTTACCATTTGACAGAAAACTGCGTGTAGAAGAATATTTGGAAAATCCTCAAGAGCCCTCCAGCGAAATCACACTACCGAGTGATAGCAGAGCTGGGACTTTGAGTAGTGCCACTTCTGAATATGGATTTGACAAAGGTGAAAGTGATTGTTAGTCTCCACTGAATGATAATTCTTAATAGAATAGGTATGAGTTGCCGAGAAATATAGCTTGATTCTCGCTGAGTTCTTATCATTGAATGTCTTTCCCTCTCGGCTACGCGAGTCAATTGTAATGTGACCATAGATGTTGATGTCAGAAACCTTACTTTCGTGTTAATAGACTTGTCGGTTACTTGAGAAAACGCCAGAATCGTTACAGAACTGGCCTTTTTACTTTGATGATAGTTGGGTGTAAAGACTGTCTCGAGAAAATGTAGCTCAGGTATGAAAGTACATCCTCCAACACTCACTCGAACACGAAGGACAAAAAGACGCATGTGGCGCATGAGGAATCGAGTCTCAGATATTTGAATTCCGGGGCTCAGATCCACCACTGAGACTCTGCGTTGAGTTTGGCCATGAAGTGGTTGGAAACTTAGATTTCTTATATTTCTTTATCGATTTCTTTGCCGAGTTCAAAACTTATCATCTTCTTAATCTGTTCATAAATCCTCAGGAGACAGACTTGAAAAGCTCGACCAGGTTGAAGGGTTAATCAAAGATGTCATTGAGAATTGGGACAGCATTCAGGAAGCATGCAGAGATGCATACCCGTTCGAAGGTTATATGATCAATTGATTATTTTCAACGAATTAATCATACTTTTAATTAGTTGATAAGATGATTGACTTTTAAAGCTGTTACTATCACGGACAATACAAATTTTCATTTGAAAAAAATACACACGAACAAAGGGCTATCTAGATGAGGGTTTAATACTAGTTTAATATTCTTGTGCAATGGAAATTTAGCGCCTCTTCTTTCTGTTGGATTTCGCCTGGTGGTCATGCGTGGCTGTGGGTTAAAGTTAGTTCATAAAAACTGCGAGGCTTGTACAGGTTCTAATCGATAATGATAGTGAGTTCCAAAAGACAGGAGCAGTATGAGTGAGGCACGATCCCCAAGCGTAAAGAAGTTGACTCTTGGAACGAACAAAAGACGAATAGAAGAGCATAATTAGCAGCTGATGACAATAGTTCTTTAATATAGGGTGGACTACGACTGTTTCACGAATTGGAGACCATTCTGTTTGATATGAATTTGAGACTCAGAAATATTACATCCTCAATTTTTTCCAGGACGTAAATATCGTAGCATAGGGAAAGAATTGGAAAATATCAGAATGACTCTAGGAACCTGGAGAAAGATGGAAAAAGAGTGGATGATTGCAGGTCAGTCTCATAAAAATCGAATGGTTGACTCTAGAACCGTCACCATTAGTTAATTTAGGGATGGTACTTTATTATGACAGAGTGGCTATGGGTTATACTATGTACTCATCGATTCATTGGGCGAAACTGACCGAGAGCCAAATATTTACCCTTTCAGCTTGATCAAACTTAAACAGTAAGCATTTTATCATATGACCACCAAGTGTTGAAAATTTCAAAACTTTCGTTTCAATTTAAAAAGGACGTACTTGTGTACAAAAGAAGGGCGAACTGGACGACTGATATCAAGATTTTACTGTAAATACTTTTTACCGATGAGTCAGAGCAAGAAATTCATAGTTCACTGAGAAGCGCAACTCATTTCCTCATTTGTTTTACTTCAAGTTGAAGTTCACAATTTTAAACCGCGTTGTTGGAAAATACAAAATAGCCGTGTGAGTAGCGGGCCGGACGGTTTTTCCGGACCGGCTTTCATTATGGTTTTCTTTGGGATTGCGTGCGTGAGGCCGTCATGTGATAATTCTACGTGTTACGTAGCTGACAGCGCCCATAGGCAAGACGAAGCGATTCCTGGCTGGCCGAGTGGACATAACAGGTCTATTTTACCCGCTTGTGATTTCTCACTTTAATTCCGCCCCAGTAAAAAAAATTGAGAGCTTGTGCAGCTTTCTAATTAATTTTAATCAACGTTTTTGACGTTGACCCATCAACAGTGTAAACCTATTAAATCCGCTGTTTTTTTCCAATTTGTCAAGTAATATCCAGCACTCAAAAAAAACGATTTATTCTTGATTCTCATTGAAGTCGGCGAGATCTTTTTGCTATACAATAAATAAATCCTTTATTGCCCAACAGTCAAAGCGCCCTCATTTGGAATTTGTTTTTTAATCAGTATTGGCGTGACCCTTAGCATGTTTGGAGCAACTTCAGAATACCCTTCAACTCATTTACATGTCATTGAATAAGAATAGCGTCTATTGTGTTATGCCTCGATCTTCAAAGCCTCCCGACACATGTAAGTGAGGCGGACCAAAGTTGCGGGGTATTCTGAAGTTTAGCCGCATGTTTATTCTTACTCAGTGGCCTCCACATTCCATATACGTTATATTGTTCAGCTGAAAGGTCAAGTTAAAGGTCAAGATGAGTGGATATAAGTCTCGTTCATTGGCTGCGGTCCATAAAACGCACAAAAAAAAGAAAAAAAAAAGAAAGGAAAATCTGCCAATATCCAGTCATCTTGACCTTAAAGTGGTCAATAACGCGTATGGAATATGAATGAGAATGAGTTCGAATAAACCTGTTAAAAATCATGGCATTACTAAAGCTCTTGCAAATTAGGACACTCTTTATGAATCATATTTTACAGTAGGTATCGCTGTATATTTATTTGCCTTTGGATCTGAACAAACACAGGCATGGCGCAGAATGGCCGGACATGTTTAATATTCATACCTCATTAGCAGTGCATTAGCATAACAGCAACGCGATGGAGCGCAAAATTTGAAAGCCGGTAATCAACATTTTAAAGGAAATGGCGCCAGAAAAAAACGAACACCTAACTTTAATTTTCATTCTAAATGGGTCTCAGTTGGAAAAGTCAACACTTGTAGGCTGCAAAATCAAGATGGAAGTACACTTATTTAATCGAGACGCTCACGAGAAGGACACGACTTCTAAAAACTATTGAAAATTTGTGTTAAAATGTGAATGATTTTGTAACCATTCTACCGTAGATAACAATTCAAAACTGTTTAATTTCTATTTTAAATTTCTAGTTTCTGATCCAACTTTTTATGAACTTGTAACTTTCAAAAGTTTCTTTATAAAGGAAATACAGATACTAAGCTTGAATATCAAGAATAGCGGAAAAGGATTTACTTGGAATTTGCGCTCGCTGTATTTCGTATCACATAAAGAGCAGAAAATGAGCCATTTTGCTCATTAATATACATGTATTCAGCTTCTCTAAGTTCCTGAATCTTGTTTTAGCGCCGCCTTCGCCGCTCCCTTGGGTGTTCACTAATGGCTAAAATGTACTTTTCAGTCTGCCGGATTTCGTTGTGATCTCTGACGAACATTTACGATTGCAGCCGACTGTCAGAGTTGTAAGCTATCACCAGAGAGAGGAAATATGTTTGGGACTCGGAGTGGTGATTCAATGTGCAGATAGATATTTGACGTTGTAACCAGCTTTGCCCATGTTCTGAGTAATCTTTCAAATCCTGCACAGTGGAAAGAGAAAGATGAGTGCTGGAGAATTTCACTCGTGAGACAGCTGCCTAATTGATATTTTTGTGGCTGTGTAAAAAGTCAAGCGCCGCTGCGAAAATTTGAGGTGCGGCCAAAACTATTTCAGCCACCAAATTTGTCTAGCACAGGATAAAAGGAAACAATGATAGAATAATATTTATAAATGACAGTATTTTTGTCAAAAAACGAAAAAACAAAACAACAACTACAATATTTACCATTCATCCCTCTTCTGGCAGTTGATTCATTTGAACTTGCATGAGGCCTCTTAGAATCAGTCGGCCTTTTATTGGAATAAGTCTACTGATTAAAAACACCTAAAACAGCAAAACAGCAAACCCTGAGCAATCATCACATTTTTGTCAGATAGTTTGTTTTCAGTATCGTGGTTAATTATTCTGTATTCGTAAATATTGTTTTTCTTTTTTGTTACATTGTAGAACCTATTTTGACATCGTCAAGCAGGGCTGAAGCTGTTATACAACAATTGAAAAACTCTCTACAGCTAGATCAAGGCTTTTTCGAAAATCCAACCAGAGAGGACAAAAGAGCTATCCGTGTCTTGGCAAGAAAAGCCAAAAATTTAAAGCGACTCGACGTGTTTAGATACTTAAAAATGATCACACCACCAGGAACAACAGGTATGTTGTGTAATATCATTTCCTTCAATCCTTCTCAATATTTATCAATTGATTTTTGAGCAATCATAACCATGATGCCTTGTGAACAAAATAGTCAGAAGGCCTTTAACTTCAAACTCTTTTTAATCCGTGAAATTTAAGTAGGAAACAATTTGCATAAAAAAGGAACAATTGTAAGTTTGCAAGACATCTTTGGATATTGCTTATGTCATGTTCAGTTGCAGAATAATTTCCTTGTTTCTATTTTAATCTAAATTTGAATATAAGTTATCGAGTTACAACGTTATATTACGCAATATAGATTCGTAAACTACTTGAATAAAATACAAGGGAAGTACGGAAGGCAAACGTGGTATTTTGAAGTAACCCAGGATAAATCAAAACAGAAAATACTTTCCGTTAAACTAATTCGCACTAACTTGCTTTTAAAAGTTTTGAATTAAGAATAGACTCGGCGGGGGAACCATTTCTAGAGAGGAAAATTCTTTTCCTGGTTTGGCCGAAACAGACATCATCTATTCCTCTGTTCCCTTGAAAACAAGCAGCCTTCTGTTTCGAACCAGTTGTGGAGCATGAAAGACAATCGTATTGTTTACAAAAAAATGACTGCGGGAAAACTGGGCTACTGATCTTCTCGCTAACTAGCTAAGAAAAAAGTATCAGTTGGGTTAATGATAAATGGTGTAATTATTCCGTTTCGCTCAACGAAAGCTGAAAAGAGAAATTTAGTCGCGAAAAACAACGAAGTTCAAAGTTCTTATCAACACAGCGAAAAAACGCGAGCGAGAGGCAATACACGTGATGAAAGAATCAACAATGATAATGAAGGAGGGGGGGGGTCCTCATGAATTCCATAAATCTTAGTTGCGAATCATTTGACTCGTGTGGTCGAATCTTTATTACGATTCTATGTTTGTGTTTAAAGCCATTGAGTCAAAGTCAGTATTTATTTTTAAGGCGATTCTTCTTTTCTTTCAGGTCCTCAGTTACCTGAGAATATGCTCATCAAGGAGATGCCAGAAAAAAACAAATACTATCTTTCAACATTTCTTAAACGTAAGTAATTTTTTTGTGAAGTAGTCGTGAAGCAAGAGCCACTACAAGGAAATACATTTATTCAATGGCCTGTGGCATGTCCCAGGCTTTCGACGTTCACGGTGATAACAACTTTTTTCGAATCCAGCCTGGATTAAGGTGACCCAGTTTAAGACGTGGGTGCTTCCATCTGCGACCTAATGGTAACCGGCCGAGAGACACATTCCCTTTGTAGTCACTTTTATTGAACCAGTAAACTTGTGGAGTCACCCCGTATCATGTAATGGACCCCTTTGCACATTTTTTCAGTCTCATACTTTGTATTGCTTCTTTGTCTCTGTTCATCAGGAAAACAATAGTCGCAAGGCGTTTTAACAACACATAAAAAACTATATATCACCAAAAAAATTATTAAATTTGGTCTTCTCGTTTAAATAAGAAATATTGAAACAGCAGAAAACCTTCTGTTATCACTAATGAGTCTGGAATAGTGTCTCTACTTTTACAACTACTCTACCAAAGTAGGTTGAGTGCATCACATAGACCCATACTAGAAATAACACCATACTGCAGATATGTTATTCTTTTTCATTACAATGGTCCATGAGGATAATCCTACTAGCAATTCATAAAGTAGGTCACTCATATAACTTGATGGTCTAGTGGGCGTTAAATTATAAACAAGTCATATTCCACGACGCACAATTAAGATGAATGTTTGTTTTCTCTATTCCAAAGTTCAGGGTATAGCGGAGGAACTGGATTTGAGACTAGAAATGATGAGAAGCCGAGAGGGCGCTTTCGTAATCGATGCTCTCACCAACCGACACGACTTAAGAACAGTGGGTGAGCTGCATGACTTTTTATGTGAACGTGGGCTGTCTTACGATGCCGATCTTATCTTCTTTATATAAATCTTTAAATATCTCAACGCTATCAGCCCACGTGGATCTCTCGATCTCATGTTTTCTTACTCTATCCTATGAGATGATGAATCAGCTCACCCTTACCACAGGGAACGGATGATTTGCTGCTAAAGTCAGTCATACTAATTTGACATAATTAACTATTCCTATAATTCCTCCGACTGAGTCAGTTAGGTAGAGTTGGTTATTATAAAAAGTTATGTTAGTATCGGAAGGTAATTTAATATTGCGCATAATTAAAGTTGGCATTAAATTTTCTCTACATACATAGATACATCAACTTTATTTATACACGACGAATGATAAAAGCTAAACGCTTATGGGATCATTTGTTTAGTTATCTAATAAAATTAATAAGAAACTTAATAAATAGCTTAAGGCTCTTAACAAATACTAAAATCTCAAGTAAATACAGTTGTAATATCTTAAAATCCTAAAAAATATCTAAAATCCTGATTGCTAAAATCAACTGTAGAAGCTGATTCTACTTTAAAAGTGAACTCTGTGAAATCTTTAATTTTTCTTAATCTAGAGCTGATAGTTCTACGTGGCTCAGAAGTAATATCAGAGTTTTTCGATGTGATTGCATTCCAGAGGATTGCCCCCCCTGTAATAGATTGCTGTAAATAACCAGATGTAAATCTAGGTACAACAATACTATCTGTTCCCCTAAATGCATAACACGACACCCTCTTGTTAATGATACTAATACATAACACTTAAATAGAAATTTTCCAGTACACTCTCGGGAAGAGATCTTGATTTTCTCAGCAAGTTAAGCTTGCTTGCGAAGCTCTTTTTCACTTCTGACAAGTATGGTGGCCATGTCAGTTTGTTGTCGACTGTCACTCCTAGTAAGCGCGATTTTTCAACCCATGTTATCAAGGAGCCCGCCATAGAAACAGGCGAAATAGGTCCGATATAATTAGTCATGAGTATAGCCTCGCATTTTTTAGGGTGTGGTGTGAGCCTGTTTATGAGACACTGACTGGGTCCCAGATTCTACTCTCATTAGTAACTTACGTTAGTTTTCTAGCCGACGCTGGAAATCATTACCTATAATTATTATTTTAAATAGTGCTTGTCTTTGAAATGGTAGTAGCAGTAAAATCTCACGTTTACATGGTGTTTCCATCGGGTTAGAACTTACTTGAAGGAATTAATTAAACTAACTACGCTAGCTAGAAAAACCGAAAACAAAACTGTAGTCAAAGTCAAACCTGCTTTTCAAGAATACCGTGTATGTTAATGTTGTACTAAAAAAGTAGACGATCTCAGTTTCAAACATCAGTTTTCTCAATTTCATTCCAAACTCACTTAAGGAGTTGGACTGTTTGATTTATTTATTTCGGGAAGCTTTTCCATAGCACAGTCCTGCTAAAGCTTAAACTTCGTTTACAACAATTAAACGAGTTTTATCTTTGACCCGTTCATATATAAACGAGCTGTTGTATTTTCAAACCATAGAGGTGCGAGAGTTTGTTTTCCGACCAGCAATTATCAAGTGCGAGTTCATGGACGTATTTGACCAAAAGAGGGAAAGCCGATAGGCTTTATCATTACACTAACATTCCGGTGAAAGATTATTTGACGGGTCTGGTAGCTTCAATTCTCGGCAAAATGTTCAGGACATCAACGACAAAACGGCTGAAAAAAATAAATCCAAACCGAATTCATTCATTAAGGCTGCAGTTGGTTTCAATATTGCTTGAGCGGTTGAGGAAAAGCTAAGAGAGTCGTAATTGGTATATACATATATGTTATTTGCCGGCTGGGAGGTCCGTATGGTGAAAAACTGTGACCGAGGTCACAGTTTTTCACCATACGAACCGACCCTTAGCCGGTAAAGAACAAATTTATTTTTTTTAAACTCGACGAAATTCTTTCCGAAAGAACCCGAATGATTTAGGGCTGTAAATACGGCACGATCTTCCATGAACTGAACAATTTTTGAGCGAGTAAATGGTGGTTAAAATAGAGGTGATGCAAATTCAAGAGAGATGCCTCAGCGAAACATTTTTATTTCCGTTACGATAAAGGTGATTTAAAAGGCTTCTAAACAAACTTTGAAACATTATTTTTACAACTATATGTCATAATCTGACACCTGTCAATTAGAGAGCGCGTAACAAAAAAATGCGTAAGAACATTTGAAAAACAACGGAAATAGTTTGGCGAGGACTGTCTCTGATTCGCTCCTGTGATTGAAGGGCTACTTTATGTTGAAGATTTCACCACTAACTGATTTTTGCGTACATGACCGTACATGGAATTTATTTGCACTTGTAGTAGTATAGTCAACTGAAAAATTAAATTAATATGACAAAGAAGGTTATTACACATGTCGATTTCGGTTGAAGCGACGGGAAAAATATTATACTTACAATTTGTGTTCCATATGCGGCTAGTAAGCTTCGAAGTGCGATCTGTGGTGACACTTTTGAAATGTAAGTTGCGTAACGAACTACTAGGTTTTTAAATAATTAGTCACCTGATCTATTTTTGCCGCGTTGCGCTAAGATAATTAAATATTCACACAAAAAATGACAAACGGCTTGAGAAATGCAAAGCAGTCTCGACAATGTTTTCTTCAAAAACAGTCAATGATCTAACGGAAAGTATTATTCAGTCTCATCGACGATTCATTCGCGTACGAAGATTTACCTCTGTTCATTAAGTAAACGGCGAGGAAAGTAATTGTGAGTAAATTAAAATTTTTTATTTTGAAGTTGTGAGAGTTTGCTCGTTTGTTTGCTGCAATGGCGTGTGTAAATCTTGTCTTTCCTTCACAAAAACTAAATTCGAATGGAACACTCCAACAAGACACAAGGGGATTTAATGCGGCCTTTCCTCAAAAAGGTCCTTCAGTTTCTGTCGTGCAATTTACGGTACAAATGTCCAAATTGAATGGACCTGGAAAGACTCACCGAGAGTGTATATTTGTTGTAGAACTTCAATTAAAACTTCGCTCGCTCTTTTCACTACGAACAAATTGCTTGAGAAAATTCAGGTATTAAATGAATGAAAGTTCCATTGTTTAACTGTAACGAAATACCTCACGTTTTAACTTTCTAGGTACTTTTTGTGGACGATTAAAATAAACTGCAGACGGTTTTTAGGCCACTTGTCAACCAACGTAATGACGCTACTGTTTGTAAAAATTCATTCTGAAACCAATTTTTTTCTGTCAACCAAAGTGATTTGAGAGAGAGAAAAGAGAGGATTCATAAGTAATTTATCGGCTTGAGGTAGTAACCGACTTGTTTGCTTAAAAATACTGCCCAGCCGGAAAAACGAGATATATTTATGAAAATGGCAACGAGATTTGGAATGTACTCGGCGATTCACGAAAGCGTTACCGTGGCCCGTGGGCAGAGATAAGAAAATACTGACCGGGTAAAGAACCAATCAGATTGCAGGATTCGTTACCGTGCCCTCTTTAAAAAAATAAATACATATATGAAATGTGTTTAATCTATTGTGAAAAAAAAATACTTGTACATATTTTTTTCCACAATAGATTAAACATATTTCATAAAGCCTTTTTCTCCAAACAAGTTCTGATCAGAATAGTAGATGTTCGCATGGCAGATAATACCTAAACTATATATTTGCACTTTTTATCAGTCGTCGATGAATAGTTTGTGAAGCTTTCGACGCGCATCAGAATTTGGCAGAATTTGAATAAATAAATCTTGACATTGGGATTTGCATCCTATCTATATGATAATCCTTATATCAATGACTGTGAAAACATTGTAACGATTGATTTGAGTTTTCAAAAAATAAAGATTAATTGTAGAACAATTGTTCTCATGCATTTGAGAGAGAAATTAGTCCCCACGAATAGCAGTGCATAAGGGGAAACGAGAGTCAAATGATGATTACACCCCTCCCCCCACCGTCCCGTCATCTTATATGAGGGCCACACGTCAGCGAAAAAGTCTGTCATCAACTTAGGCTTTCAAAATGGTTTATCATCCCATAATAGCTCTTCATGCTCACGTAGGTGGGTAGATCTTTAGAAAAACCTTCGTCGGTTTCACCGCCGATAAAATCGGGAAAAAGTTTTCTTTTTGCTTCAGTGAATTTGCTTGTGCTCCTGGTTGGAAGTCTTATCTTCAAAAGAATAACCTCCTCGACTCTTTTATGATAAACATGGCAGATCCAGTGTTTCAATGACCCTGGTTAAATTTTTCTTGAGCTTAAAGTTTAGTTGGCTTCGCTATGGTTGGATATATCATCGGGCTGAATGTGGCGACATTAGTATTTATTCAAAACTGGTGAAGTTGTCAATATTAATTAATTTAGCATCCAATGCTGCTTTGAGCTGCCGCAGCTAATAACGGTAAGGCGGAAAGGCAACTAATTAACAAATAGATTCCAAGTTGCCGTGCGTCTGTAGATCAATAGATCACAGATGACGTCAAAATGTGGTAAGAACAAAAAAGTGGCACACGAGGCGCAGCTGAGTGCGTCACTGATGTTTTTACCACATTTTGACGTCCTCTGTGATCTTTTACTGAACAGACGCACGGCAACTTGGAATCTATTTGTTTTATATAATAAAGAATTAAAATATACGGAAAAAAAGTTTTAATGATGACGTCATCTATACGTCTGTCCTCCAATAGATCATAAGTGAGAACCAATCAGAATGCGTGCATAACTGAGCTTATTATATAATGATAGATAGAATTTCATAAGAAAGTTACATAAGCGTTAAGCTTCATCAGGCATGCGCGGGATTATTCTAATTTCTTGTCTCGCTATATTAGCTATTTTGGTTTCCTTTTTACCGTGAGAAATGTATTTGATTCTTTTAAACTCAGGGTCTGCTTATCTTTAAGGAGGCTCGAAAGAGTTTTTCGTTGTTGCAGTGTTTGTGAAACGATGGAAGATTACAAAGGTGTATATTTAATGGGGTGGGCAAACTATATGTCTCCTTGCAACTCTATTGCTGTGCTATACTTGAGGGTACTTGTGATGTCATATCAGTTACCATGGCAACGCACACGGTCCACAAAAACGTCCACTAAATTTTAGTTTTTGTAAATTATCTGAAAAACTAACTCGGTGACCTACCATTCTTTTTTCTTGGAAAGTTCCCTAAATTCTTTAACTTTCCAGACAGTATGGAAAAAATTTATTTGGTAGAATGAAATATATTTAAAGAAAATACGATTTATGACTAACAAAAAATTCTACTGGATAATTTTTCCCGAAACTTTTATATTTGAAGTGCTATCGTGAATGGTGCGTGCATGCAAAAAATCAAGATAGGTCACCGAACAAAATTTCGAGCTGGAAACAAATGTATTTCGCAGATTTCATTTCCGGTTCGCGCAATTTCAAGCAACATTTAACTTTCACATTCCAGGGTGAATTCTATAAACAAAAGAAAGGAGCCGCAATGGGGTCTCCAATTTCCCCTATAGTGGCCAATCTCTACATGGAACAGCTCGAGAGCAGAGCTCTGGACACCGCCCCCACCCCTCCAACTATGTGGTATCGATATGTTGATGACACGATGGCCAAGATTCACGAAAACGCCGTCGATTCCTTCTCAGAACATCTAAACTCCATTGATCAACACATCCAGTTCACTTCGGAACAAGAAAAGGATGGCAGGATTCCTTTCCTTGATACCTGTGTGAGTATTAACCAAGATGGTTCTACCAAGATCTCCGTGTACCGCAAACCTACGCACACGGACCAGTACCTAAACTTCCAGTCAAACCATCATCTACAACACAAAAGAGCTGTGGTTAACACCCTGATGTTGAGAGCTCACACCTTGGTTACGGAAAACGAGGACAGAACTAGAGAAACACAGCATGTCAAGCAAGCTCTAAAAATGAATAACTATCCAGAATGGATGCTAACAATACCACATCCAAAATCTACAACAGAAGATACCGAAGAGCCTCAAAACGAGAAGAAAATCTATGTATCAACGCCTTACATCAAAGGTATCTCGGAACGCCTGCAAAGAGCGTTCAAGTCACACGATGTTACACTTATTCATAAACCCGTCAATTCTTTAAGATCACAATTGGTACGTGTCAAGGACACAACTGTCAATCTCAAGAAATGCGGTACTGTGTACCAGATCCATTGTGAGAAGTGTAACAAGGAGTACGTTGGCGAAACGGCCCGCGCTCTGGAAATCAGAGTGAAAGAACACCAATCAAGAAGTTCATCAGCTGTTCACGAGCATTGTCGCCTAGAGGGCCACTCGGTGGACCCAAATAAGATAAAAGTACTATCAACCGAAGTTAACACCTTCAAACGCAGGATAAAAGAAGCTATTCAAATTAAACTTACGAAACCGGCGTTAAACAGAGACAATGGTTACGAATTAGCAGCTATCTATGACACAATTCTAACCCCCAAGAGGCGTTAAAAAACCTTTTTTAAATTCATCTCTTTAACATTCATATCATTGACTGATGAAGTCCGGTCGAAATACGGGCGAAATATTTCATAAGTTTTAACTTTTAGCTCCGAGTTTGGAAATTTTAAACTTTTATAGTGTGTTGATTTTGATTCATTCAGCTGACGCGTGCATCTTAGATATGGCGTGTGTAGATTGCGCACGCGCGTGCATCTAAAAGCCCTTTCCAGCCTCCTTAACAAAGTTAAGGTGGGGTTTGTACCAGAATATTATGATTTGCCTATGCTAGGAAAACACTGTTCCTCAGATCTCAGTTCGTTGGTTAAGATTGTCAGGGAATTTTATAAGCGGAAATTGGAAGGCTCTGAAGAGTCACTTTTCTGCATGAATCGTTATTTTCGAGGAGTTTTAATTCTCAGCTTGTTTTATGTGTTTAGATAGTATACATAATTTTTCCAAGTTTTCAGTTCTGTTGAAATCTGTACCTTGATTTGGTAATAAAAATAAAGACACAACTCTCGCACACCGAATACTATCTAGGCCGTCAACTAACGCGACGAAATTGTTCTGTTTTGGCCATTGGCAGATGATATCGCGTTGCTTGGTTGTGTTGGTGATCAGTCACATAGAGCTTGTCTCTGCTCACTTGATTCATCAAAAACGAAGGGAAAGAATGAAATAAGGATATCCGCAGCAATGATAAGTGAGTATCTGGGTATCTTTATTAAAAGATCTTCACGCCAAAGGCGATGGAATACAGTTGAAACAAGTTAAGAGGAAGTAGAGGGGTATTTTTCGACAAATTCGTCGAACTATGTTGAGGATGACATTTATTAAAGAAAAATTTCTCAGGTAATTGCCAAAAAATATGCATTTCTTCACAAAAATCTCTAAATCACGTGAAGGGCATTTAAAAATCATAGGTTTTTTACTGTTAAAGCAATTGTTTTAACGCCAGAGTACAAAACTATGGACACCTGAGAGTAAGAAGCTCAACTCTGCCGTTTGCCCTAAGAATCATACTTAACCAGTCTATGAGGTAGTCATTTTTCAAAATTTATCTTCGATCAGAGAATGTATAGTGAAAGAAAGTTTGCAAAGCCCAGCTAAAAAGTGAGATTGTCTAGAACTTTCTGCTATCGTAATCATTTTACCAATTACACTTGTTTATTTTCCATTTGATGCCAAAATTCAACTGTTGCGTAAGTACCACTTAAGGCAGATGAAATGTTCCACTTCTTCCGTTTGCCTTTAAGTCGTTTCATGGACATCCATTAGATATATTGGAAGTGGGTGTCCTCAAAAGTAAAGATTAAACTACATTTCGAATGAAATATAGATAAATCTTTCATTTTGTTGGCTCCGAAACAGTCCGACAAGTTCACGGCAAATCTTAGTGGAGACCAAATCCAAGTATTTATCCACCTGCTATCCTTTGCTCGGCTTGTTTAACTATTAAGATAATTTGGTATTCTTGTTCTAATTCGTCTGCTCTGACGAAGGGCTAAAGCTCGAAACGCCAGCGTTGAAACTCTTAACGGTGGCCAAATTTACGTTATCAACTCAGTTGATAATATCAGATTACGTTTTTATATTCTGAGTCCTTATATCCATTCACAAAGTGTCCTGGAACATTCCAGAAGCTTACAAAATAACATTTTTAGTAGTATTACGTAATAACTGCATGACTTGATGAAATGTTCTTGAAAGTTCTATGGTATGCATGTCAGCATAACTACGCAGTCTGGAGATTTCTAGAAGCTTTTATTTACAACAAAATTACTCGTAACTATAGTAAACTTTGTCCCATTCCAAATTTGCATCGGGGTATTTATCTGTTAGTATCCCTTTTCCAGTTGGTGGAATTTGCTTCTTACTCAGAAAAATGTCATAGATTTGATTGGAAAAGCTGTCGAGAATTGGAACCAGGTTTCCACTGCCCATTTCAATTTTGGGGGTGTTTAGAATATCATCAGAGGGTGGATAATGCTATCCAACAGATAAATTGTTATTCAGCAGATACATGTAGGTGTTTACAAAAAGGTGGTGGACTATCCACTGGAAAGAGATTAGTCCAGTGGATAGTATTATCCGCCTGAACAACCGAGACCACAAAAGAAGAATGCATTGATTCTGAATTGTGCAAAAAGCATTGCTTTGGCTGTCTGTGGGTAGGACTTTCTCTCATTTCCTTCTCTGCTACTTGCATGTCCAGTATTTGGTATGCCAGTCCATCATCAAGCAACACTGGAAAGAGCAGTCGAAAC